CCACCCTGGGGTCACAGAAGGAACACGCTATCTGTGCCCTTATCTCCAGCCTCAGAATGGGGGTGCTGGGTGGAGATGATGTCCATGCTGAGGGCAGGCACTGGGAGTCTTAAGGGTGTGGAGGGACAGAAGGGTTAGCCCTGGGGAAGCTGACTGTTCCCTCCAAACCCCCTTCCCCATCAGGTGGGGACGGACAGCCGGCCAGGCCTGCGTCCCTGCCAGCATCCAGCTCCTTCCTACCCAGCTTCCTGCAGAGAGAGGGGTGGCTCTTCCAGGAGCAGGCCAGGACCGTGGTGAGGAACAGGAGAGAGGCCAGCGGCAGCAGGATGGCCAGCACCAGCACGGTTCCTGCCAGGACAGCAGACGGAACAGCCGTGACGACCCCAGGAAGGGCGGAGGGGAGGGAAGCTAAGGAACAGCTTTCTGGTCCTCTGGACAACTCAGAGAAAAGGGGCGACCGCAGCTTTTCCCTTCTAGACCCACTGCAGTTCCTAAAGGCAGAATTGGAGAAACTTCCCTTGGGTTACAGAGAAAGGGAACTAAGTTGGACTGGGGCAGGCCCTCCTGACTGCGGGGGGAATCTCAAGCGAGGGTGGAGATCTCTGGAGGGCATGGCTGGTGGCCACCATGTAGAGACCAAGGACGGGGGCAGTCTTGTGGGTGAGGACAGGAGTGTGGGCACTTGGTTTTCCAGGGTTGGAAGTGGGGGTGGAAGGCAGTACGGGGAAGGTGGGACTTGGGTTTGTAAGCAGACTCGGGCCACAGGGTAGAGCCACATTTCTGCGGACGTGACCATCTTAGAGAGAGGCTGCTATAGGAGCTGAGATTGCCCCTCTGTCTCTGTGGGGGTGTTTACAGGGGTGGGGGGGTGGGGCCTGCAAAGTCTCCACCCCCTGGCTCAAGGCAGGCTCCAGGAGGGGAGGGAAGGGAGGCTGGGAGCTGGGATTCTCAGGTCTTGGTATGTGGCAGTGGATAATTTCTGTCTTTCACAGAAGAGTCTAGAGCACCCATCAGTTGTACCTGGGGAAGGTCAGGAAGACTTGGACATTTGTATACTGGGAGCTGGCCCTTTCTGATCCACCTAAACCTAGGGCCTGAAGGAGCACAGAATGGGAGGTGTGGGGAAAAACTGGACCTGGCATCTGAGACGTCTGTGTCCCGGCCCAGTTGGGTGACTTTTTAAGCCATTCTACCTCTTGGAGCATCAGTTTCCTCAAAGATACAGTGAGGGGGGTTTGGTACCTACTGTCTAAAATTCCAGCTCTAGGGGCGCCTGGGTGGCTCAGTTGGTTAAGCGTCTGACTTTGGCTCAGGTCATGATCTCGGTCCGTGAGTTCAAGCCCCGCATCAGGCTCTGTGCTGACAGCTCAGAGCCTGGAGCCTGCTTCCGATTCTGTGTCTCCCTTTCTCTCTGCCCCTCCCTGGCTCGTGCTCTCTCTCTCTCTCTCTCAAAAATAAATAAACACTAAAAAAATTAAAAAAAAAATAAAACAAAATTCCAGCTTTAAAGTGCCAGTTGTATTTGATACATGGTTAAAAAGTACTAAGAGGACAAGGAAAAAGATGATATAGCTGAATGAAAAATCAAGTGACAAAATATTCAAATGACTCCACTTTTAGAAAACCAATTCTATATATAGACATCCATTGAAAAATGTCTTAGGATATATTAAAAAATGTTGAGTGGATATGCTAAGTGATGGTCCTGTGAGTGGTTTTTAGTTTTACTTCTCTGAATTTTCTTTTTTTTTTTTTTTTAATTTTTAGTGTTTATTTATTTTTTGAGAGAGAGCACGTGTGCAAGTGGGGAGGAGCAGAGAGAGAGGGAGAGAGAAATCCCAAGCAGGGATGAGGGGCTCGAACTCACAAACTGTGAGATCATGGCTTGAGCCGAAGAGTCAGACGCTTAACTGACCGAGCCAGCCCAGTGCCCCTGTTTCTCTGAATTTTCTAATTTTCTATGGTGTGCATGCATTATGGTACACGCTCTGGAGTATGAAAGAACTGAGCACAGGTCTTTGTAATACCAGATACCAGTGAGTGATCTGGGCCAAGTCCCATAACCTCTCAGCCTCAGTTTCCTCCTGTTCTCAGTGAGGATAATAATAGAACTACCGTTGACCCTTGAACAATGTGGGGGTTGGGGGCGCTGACCCCCGTGTAGTCGAAAATCCACGTCTAACTTTTGACTCCCCCCAAACCTTAACTACAAATAGTCTACTGTTGACCAGAAATCTTACCAATAACACAGTTTGATTCATGCATCTTTTATATGTTATGTATTATATACTGTGTTCTCGTGATAAAGTAAGCTAGACAAAAGAAAATGTTATTAAGGAACTCATAAGGAAGAGAAAATACATGTATAGTAATGTTCCGTATTGATTGAAAAAAAAAAAAAAGCCACATATAAGCGACCCGCTCAGTTGAAACCCATGTTGTTAAGGGTCAGCTGTACTTTACAGGGTCATTAAAAAGATTACATGAGCTAGTGATTGTCAAGTGCTGGCAGAGTGCCTGATGCCCTAGCTCTCAATAAATGAAAGCCATAATTATAAATATTTGGTAATTTTTAAAAAGTTAATAAACTCTCTCCCCGCTAATCATGTTTACAGTTATTAGAAATACCCCTTAATCATCTGTTAGGCTAGGAAACCAGCAATGTCACAGAAAAGAAACAAACAAAACAGAGTCAAATGTGGGATGAACTCTCTAATAATGAAAGTGTGTAATCTAGTAAAGAGATTTTTGGTCTGGTAAGTGGGTTATATGATGGTGGCATGTCCAAGATGAGGACAGTAATGTCAGTTACAATTACATCTCACGTTAGGAGTGTTCCTTGGCATAATAGTACATGTAACTTACAAGTTATGTGTATAACACATAACTTAAAAAGAATGTGTATATCAAGCTGGCCTAGGGATACTCCAATTTTTCCTTAGGGAACTTTTCTGCTTGCCCCAATTCTGAGAGAGAAGGATTAATCTTTTCCCCATCTTTTTAGCTGGGAGAAATGAAGGCATTTTCCCAGATTCCCCCCATGTGCCCCTGGGCCCCAGACTCCTCACCTGGCATCTCAGGGGACTCGAGTGGATTTCTGCAGCTGGTGTCAGACTGGGCAGTGCCTGGAACTGCCTCTACCAGACCCTGTTCCTCACACCTGTGAAGGAAAGGGAAGCCCAATTCAAGCGGGCACAGGGCTGGAAGTGGAGGCTAGCCCATGCATGCGAGCATAAGGGTGGTCAGCAGCTGGGACTTCTGGGATGGTGGGGGTGCACTCACCTCGTGTGGGGCTGGCAGCGGGCCCTGGGGGAGGAGGTATTCTGGAAGTGCCCTGCCTTACAGGGAACACAGTTTCTCTTAGCCTCCATGACTTCATCTGGCAAGAGAAAAGCAAGGCCAGCCAGGGTGAGTGGGCAAGGGGCGTCTCTCCACGCTGTGAGTTTCCTTTATTCCCACTGAATGGCCCTCCCTGCCCGTAGCACCTTTCCTGATCTTCCTCTGGCCCGAGCCTCCCTGAGCTGAGAGAAGCCTCCTTCTGAGGCCCTGAATCTGTCCCCTGTCCCCGTTCCATTTCTCTGCAGACCCCTTCTGTGGGCCTTTAGCCCAGGGAGGGAGAGGAGGCTCTTTATGTCAAAGAGAACTACCTGGGGGCTCCCCACAGATGAAGTACGCGCTCCCGGCCCCCATTTAAGATCACTGGCAACCGGTCTCCTCCCCGCCTTCTGCCCACAGTGGCCTCTGACCTTTGAGCTCCACCTCAGTGCCAGGTGGGCAGTTGGAGAGTGGCTCGCAGTGCACACACTCGGTGTCCCAGTGCACGCAGAACATTCCGGGCTGGCAGCGGCACTGGGTTTTCTGTTTGCTGGTGCAAGGCACAGTCTCCTCGAAGCCCAGCACTGGTGGGGAGACAGACAGGGGAGCTCGGTGGAGGGGCTGCGCTCCAGGAGATCCCAGCCTCCCCGGGCACACGGCCACTCACTCTGGTCACAGGGGCGGCACATCTGGCAGAAGGAGAGATGGTTCCAATGCTCGTTGTAGGAATTCTCGGGGCACATGGCACACACTGTGTTCTGGCCGCGGCTGCATTCCACTGAGACACGTGTGCCTAGGATGTGAGCGAAGCGATCCGGGTGTCAGGGGAGCAGGGCTCCCACCCTCACCTCTGCCGCCTGCCTGCCGTGTGACCCTGTCCTCTTGGGGGCCACGTCCGACGGATGGCCGGCTGCTTTCCCGATGCAGGAGAAATGCCTCTCTTTTCCCGGGGCAATGGTGTCTGTCTCCCCTCTGAGGCGGTAAAGGTGGGCTGGAGTGCCCTGTAACCCACCTCCCATCCCAGGCGTCCTGTGGCCCTCGGGTCTCACCTGGGGGGCAGCGGGAGCAGCAGACCCGATGCTTGGGCTCGTAGTACTCCTTTTCCCGGTCCTGGCACGTTTGGTTCTCCGTGTGGTATGGGGGCGCCTTCAAGGGGAGATGGAGGTGGGGGGAGAATTGTCCAGGGGGCACCTGGGGAGGGCAGAGGGACTAGAGGGAGGGCTGCCCAGACCCCGCTTCCCCTCCCGAGTCTGCCCTCACCCACCTGCGCGGGCCCCTCCCTCATCAGTGGGGCCTGGGATGCTGCCAGGAGACTGCAGAGGCCCAGGACGAGTGGCCCCCAGGCCAGGCCGCAGGGGGAGGCGGCCCACGGCAGGCGCATGGCGGCCAGTCGGCCAGTCGGCCAGATGGGTGGAGGCCTGGGGGGTAGGTGGGAGGCCTGCACGTCCCGGGCAGTGGTGGCAGCGACCTCCCCCCCCGAGCCCAGGGTCTGGGACAAGGCTCGGGCTGACGTGCCCCTGGGGCCGAGAGCCCGGGCCTGGCCTGGCCTCCAGGGCTCCAAGAGCCGGGCTCAGGAAGTGGGAGTGGAGCAAGCCGGCCTCGGGGCGGGGACAGGGAGCGCTGGGAGCAGAGGCAGCTGTCGCAATCGGGGAAGAGGAACAGGCTTGGCCGCCCCGATGCAGGGCGGGAGGGGGCGGCCGGGAAAGCACGTGAGGGCAGCAGGGCCGGAACCGGGCCTCCTCCCTTCTTCGGAAGCCTGGCCGGGAGGGGAGGACCGCTAGGTGGGAATGGGCCACAGAGCCAGTGGACAGTGCCCAGATGGGCCTCTGAGAGCAGGGCAGAGCTGACTCGGAACAGAGGGAGAGCCGGAGCTGGGTCCAGCCGGGTGCCAGATCTCAAAGTGGAAGGGCCTGTGAACGGCAGACACGGAGAGCGCAGACACCCGCTGAGGCCCACGGCCAGCCAGCTGCAGCATCTGGGAACCAGAAGTCCCAGTTGGCATCCATCTGGACTCCTGGGGGTTCCTGCCCCGTTGTGTGACTTTTAAAGATAAGCTGCAGAGGAATAACAAGCCAGCCAGCCCTTCCGTCCCCTGATCCACCCCAGTGCACACATTAGTGGGCACAGGTCATCTACAAGACACTGCAGAGAGTGCTGTGGTCTCTGCTCCCCTGTCCTTTGACGACGGAGGACCACGTAGACCAAATTCCCCATGAATAGGGGCGGCTGCACCGGAGCTGGGCAGCCACAGTCTTCAGTCCCAGTTTCCTCACCCAGGAAGGAGCTTCTGAATCCTTCTGAACTGGAGGAAGCTGAGAGACCACCAGTCCAGCCGCTTTGCCTTAATCGTGAGAAGGTGGAGGCTGAGGGTGCCACATAGACAGAGACCAGGATTCCGGGGGGCTTGGTCTAGTCCCTGCCCGCTTTCTTCCCACCATTTACCGGCAACCCGTTAACAACAGCCCCTGCCATGCCCCCTTATGCCAGGCTCTCTGGTCTTCAAGTTGCTGTGCTCCTGGCGAATTCCCACCCGTCCTTGAGGCTCGCACGGGGTCTGGGATACACCCCCACCCCAGGCTGCACAGATGCCACACAGACAGCGGTCTGGGCTTATTCTTTCCCACCTCACCAGGCTGTGAGCTGTGCAATGGCCTAGACTGGATCTTTAGGACTGGGTCTCAGTGCTTGGCCGAGTCTGGCCCATACCAAGTACATGTTTATGGAATAAACGATGATGCCTTGTCCACATCACATAGCCAGTCTGCGGCAGGACTAGCCTAGACTCCAGAGTTCCCGATTTCTGGGTCCTAAGCTCATTCCTGCCTGAGTTTAGATATTTCACTCTCCTCTCCTGGTGCAGACCTCAGACCTGTACTCTGCAGGCAAATGTTTATATGGACGGTCCCAGGCAGCCCGGAAGGGGAAGAAATACCAGAGGAGCACACCCTGCTCAGGGCTGCCGCTCTTTCAAAGTCCAGGGAATTGGGGGCTGAGACTGGACTCACCACTGAGCTCTTCAATGCATACAGGTATGTGTATGCAGTGGCCTTAGATTCCTTTTCCTTTTTATTATGGAAATTCACACACCACACACACACACACACACACACACACACACGAGGAGAAAATAATACTGTGAACTCCAGCTTCAGCTCATGGCCAGTCTTATTTCTTCCACACAGCCCTCCTCCATTCTTCTGATCTCCTCTTAATTATTTTGAAGCAAATCCCAGACATATATCATTTCGTTTGAAAATATTATAGGATTTTATCGAAAAGGGAGATCTCTCTCTCTCTTTTTTATTATTGAGGTATAACTTGTAAACAGTGAAATGCTTGAAGGACACTGATCTGATGGATACAGATCAATGAGTTTTCACTTTTGTATGTTCTTGTGTATCTCCCCCAGAACATTTCCTGTACTTCAAAAGGCTCCTGCTTCACAGGTAAGCCCTATCTCAGATCTTTTTTAACCACAGCTGGCTGAACTGTATCCTTTCTGCTGTCAATCTCATGCTGTCACTTCAGCCTTCAAGGAGTCTCTGGGTCCTAAAGAAAGAGCCTTCAGATCTGGACTTTAATCCTGGTCCCGACACTTCCCCTCTCTGGGCCTCTTTTTTTTTTTTTTTTTTTTTTTTTTTTTTTTTTTTTGTATTTGCCAGTCAACTGCTGGTTTGCTTACAGATCTGTCCTCCCCTCTTCCTCTGCTGTTTTGTATCACTGCTGGGAACTACATTTCCCAGACTCCTTTTTCCTCAGGCTTCTGGGTAGTTTCAGCCAATCGGAAGACAGGTGAGTGAAGGACAGGTAGGTGGGAGGAGGAAAGAAGCCAGGCTATTTCTCTGTCTCTCTTTGCTTTTCGGACATCGGATATCACCTGTGTTTGCCTGTGTTTCTTCCTTCCCTCCTTTCATAATCCCATCTCCTGTCAGGCAGTCCCCACTATTTACTTCCTGCCAAATAACTCAGGAGGCCTCTGAGTCTATGATGCTTAATTACCCTGCTGTCCTTCCAGCCCTAGAGATGTAGCTGCTTCCTGCTTCGCTGTTTTCTGGGTTGCCTCGCTGTCCCCCGTTGGCTTCTCATCTCTTTCATCACCCATGTACCAATTTCTTGGGTTAACTTTCTTCCATTTGGAAGACTTAAGAGTGTTTGCTGTTTCTAAGCTGGACCACAATTGATAAGTCTTAGCAATAAATGGTTATTATGCCTACCCAACCTTCTCCAGGAGGGTGAAGGAAACTCACAGGGGGATCCATGAATTCTTTGTGGGCAGGGCGTTGTCTTGGTTTCTTTTTCTTTGTGTTCTTTGCCAGCTTTCTTGAAGCTCATTTCCATTGGGCAGCACCAGGGCTGGACTGAGTACCCCACAGATTCCCAGAATGTTTGGCCTTCTTCCGAGAGGACTGCTGAGAGATCTTCCTTCCCAGAGGTCCATGAAGAATCCAAAAAGGGTGCCTGGTGGGAATGGATTCTTCTGGATACTCTTTCCCACACAGTTCTTAGCCAACTGGTGCTCTCAGAAAGGGTCTGGTAAATACGGAGACATGTGTCATGGGTGAGGGGGTCATCCTTCTCCGGAGACTTTGCATTTTCATTGGGGGCCATCCCTTTAAATAAACCCAAAGAATTATCCAAATGTCAGTTGTGCTGAGGTGGAGAAATCCTGCCTTGACCCAAAGGAATAAACTTCTAATGGTGAACTTCTAAGCCTCCTGCCAGGTGACTAGAGTAGGAGTGGTATGGAGGAGTTTTCTGGTCATTCCCACCATATAAGTGCAGATAGAAAGCCCACTGTTTTCCACAGTGGGCAGCCCAGTGTTGAAAGGCTCATTAATTCCAAGTAGTAAGAATAAAGAGCTGCATTTAATTGAGTGACTCATTTTTTACCCTAGAAATGGAAAAAATGAAGGAAATTCAGGCAAATTAGTAGATGACAAATTAATGAGTTATCAGAGGAAATTAGGATGTTCAATGGAGATGCTTTCTCATAGCACATCACTCTCTGCCGAAGATAAATCTTGAGTCTTAAGATGCTCATTCTGCCATCGTCTGCAGATTGGGTCAACAAATAGTGACCACTAGACAGTGGGACGACCAAGATGAATAAGCCTAGAGCTTGTTCTCAGAGAACTCATAGTATGACCTGTGTATACGCACACATGCACATACTAGGCTAGTAATCATATACAGTGGTAAGTGCGGCCATAGATTCTCAACAAGACTCTCTCTCTCTGGCAGTGTGGAAGAGAAAGTGATTATTTCCATCATCTTCTGTTCCCCAGAGAGCAAGAGGCAGTAAGCCCCTTTGAACTCATGACCCTCGTCCCATCGCAGACTCCCTATTTCACTTCTCTCCCTGTAGCCTTTGCACATTTATGGCCACATAGGGTTAGGGCATGGCTAGTGCCAGGAGGGAAGGAACAGCTCCAGTCTGGGAGAGCATTTTCCAATGCTGGGGAAGCTTCCAAGACAAGGACCACAGGGCCGTGGGACCCCACAGAGCAAGAGTCCACTTCTCTGGAAGTCAGGGGAGCAGCACTGAACATGGAAAGGAGAAACTCAGCTCTCCATCTGGCCCCACTCCTAACTCCTCACTCCTCTGGGCCTCAGTTCTTTCTTGTGTTAAGCAAGGGTTAATGCACAGTCAACTGGAAAGGGCTTTTGGGACCATCTGGGACCCTCACTCTCCCTTCCCCCTGCCATTTCACTTTTCAGATCAGAATGCAGGAGCCCAGAGAGGTATAGTGCCTTTTCCAAAGTCACATAGTTTAAAGGCAAAAATGGGGGGCGCCTGGGTGGCGCAGTCGGTTAAGCGTCCGACTTCAGCCAGGTCACAATCTCGCGGTCCGTGAGTTCGAGCCCCGCGTCGGGCTCTGGGCTGATGGCTCGGAGCCTGGAGCCTGTTTCCGATTCTGTGTCTCCCTCTCTCTCTGCCCCTCCCCCGTTCATGATCTGTCTCTCTCTGTCCCAAAAATAAATAAAAACGTTGAAAAAAAAATTAAAAAAAAAATTTAAAGGCAAAAATGGAAGTCACAGAATACCTATAATATGGTCCCGTTTATGAAAAAAAGTATCAATGTAAAGAAATGCATATAATTTTATAAAAGCACACAAAAGATACAGATGGATATACCGATTACAACAGCCCTCCTTGACCTGAGGGGTGGGTAGGGAATGGGACAAAGGGAAGCTTTTGCTGTTCTGTATATTTCTGTCTTGTTGGAAAGTCGCATTGTGGCAAAAATGTATTTGGGCATTATTTCTGCACTTTCAAAGATAACACTTAAAATGGAGCCGTGACAGAAGTGCAGATTTCTGTGTTTCTCACAACAGACTTGCTCTGGCCCATTCCAGATCTAGAACGACGCCTTCCCTGAGCATGGGCTGCCCCCCACCCACTGCCCTGGTACACTGACAGGCACTTCTGGGGACACCATGTCCACGTGCTCCGGCTCAGCCCAGACCCGTCCTTGTGATTCTTCTCACAGAGCCCTTGAGATGAGAACTATTTGCTGTGCTGCTTTGAGCCCGTGGTTGGATTTCAGACACCAGCTAGCAAACAGAAAAGGCAGGGAGGTGCCTCTCCTAACCTTTGAGATCAAACAGGCAGGGTGCTGTGTACTCCATTTGTTTAAGAACCTGGCTCCGGGGAGAATAGGGGTTCTAAGGCTGTCTGGGTCCTGTGGGAATGTGGGGTCAGTGTAGAGAGCTTTCCACAGAGCTGGGGAGATAAGCCAGGACCCAGATTGCCGATGAGCCCATGAACCCTGCGTTTGAAGCTCCTAGGTTTCAAAACCAGGTACAGGGGGGCTCCAGTTCCCCATGAGTCTGCGGCTGGTTTGTCATGGGAAATAAATGGCAAACGTCCTAAGTAGACATCCCTGCAGGAAAAGAATTCTGATTTTGTGTTTCTCTCGGCTGCTGTTTCGTTCTGTGCCCTCAGAAAACTGGCTTCTCTTTATGGAGGGTCGGTTTCTTCATCTCGAAAATGAAGGAAAAACCAGCCTTTCTCTTCCCAGGAGGGTGTTCCCAGCAGGTGTCAAGGGGAGTGATGGGACCGGGTTTGGAATCCTGGCTGACAGCAGCTCTCACTTTAAGAGGCCACAGGAGACCTTCTGCCCTAAGAGGAAGCCGCAGGGCCCAGCTGTACCCTGAGTTTGGAGTACCCCGCTTCCCTCTTACTTGTCTGGTACACCCCTTGGTGTTCCTCAAGACCCAGCTGAGATGTGACCTTCTCCAGGAAGCCTTCCTGAGTCTCCTCAGGGTGAGTGCCTCTGCCTGCCACCCTGAGGCTCCCTCAGCACTTACTTCTTATCTCTGCCACTAGAGTCCTCATCTTATGTAGCATGACTGCCTTCTTCCGCCACTCTCCATCAGTGCTCAGGCTGGGCCTGTGTCTGCACATCCCAGGCCGGCTTCCCCCGGGTGCCTCCGATGAGGGTCCGCTGTGGCCGACCTCCTACCATCAGGCGCGGGGCCTGGCTTGTGTGGTTGGGGCTCCCGTGCCTCCTTGGGCTGTCTCTGGGCCCTCTCTCTGACCCTTCCCTTTCTGTGTGCTCACTGCTTACGCTTCACTCTTTATCCTCTTGCTGGATTAAGTTCGGAGCAGAGATATTGGAGGAAAAACACAGCCCCTACCAGCGAGCCTTTCCCTCTTCCCAGGGCTGGTGTCCACTTGGGCCATGCCCACCTTCCTCCTTCCCGACACCCAGTGCTGCCTACATCCCTCCCTATTCGCTCAGGGCCCACTGTCCCTAGAGCTCCTCAGGCTCCAGGTCTGTGCCCAGGTGCCCTGCCTGGCCCCTGTGCTGCCTCTCGGTGACCACATTCCTGCAACCCCGTGACCACAACAGGGGACATTACACATTCCTGGCCTGGCAGCCAATGGTGTAAAAAAGAACAGAATGTCCCAGGGCCCCGCCCAATCTCCAGCCTCACCTGGGCCCCTCCCTGGCCTGGACGAGGTAAGGGGTGGCAGTGAGGAGTCAGGAGGGAGAAGGATGGACCAGGAGGGAGAGGCAGAGGGGCGCTTTGTGCCCCAGTGCCCAGGGGGGCCAGGAGGTGTCCCCACTTTACTGAGTAGATACCCCTTCTTCTTCTATAAGACCTGGGGGTGAGGCTGACCTGTGGGTGCCTTTGGCAGGAGTGCCCAGAGAGGGGACCCAGCTCCTGGAAGCCCACTTGGGGCTTCATCCCCTCAGTCTCCTGGCTCTACCCCCTTCACCCACCCTCCTCTCTGGGCCTCTCCTCCAGCCCTCCCTCCCAGGCCTTCATCCTGTCTTCTTCCATCCATCTCCCTTTTTCTGCCTTCCCTGTTCTGGTCTCCCCTGCCTTAGTCTCCCTCATCCTGGCTGGTTCTTTTTTCTTTGTTTTGCCCTCCTGGCTTTGTGTTCAGGATCTCTCTCCTTGTCTGAGATCTCTGGCCCTCCCCCTGCCCTTTTGTCTCAGATCTCCTTGCCTGTCAGCCCCCAGGGCCGTTACTCTTCTAGGTGGGGGGGGGGGGGGAGCACCCACCTCCTCCAGTCCCACACTTCCGGGGCACCTGCCCTCAGGAGCCCTCCTCCCTTTGGAGAACTCTCAGCTCAGACTCCTCCTTTGCCCCTCCCCCTGCCCTGCTCACCTTTAATTGAGATGCTAATGAGGCTTCTGTCGCTTCCATCCCAGCCTGGCGGGCGGGCTCCCTGGCTGGGCCGCTGCACCTGTCAGGTGAGGGGGAGGAGAGGCTCGGCTGCCAGATTCAACTGGAAAGGAACCAGTCCCAGTCCAGCCACAACCTGGGAGCTGGGAGCAGGAGGCCGTCCAGACCTCCTGGAGCCCTGCAGTCCCTGGGACGGACACAGCCCAGGGCCAGGGCCAGAGGTGGAGGAGAGAGCCCACTCAGAGAGGGAGCAAGGCAGGGAGGAAGAGGAAGAAGAGAGGCAGGACCAGAGAGCCTGGCACACAGACAGGAGACAGGCAAGGAAGACGAGAGCTGAGAAAGAGACCCAAAGAGAAGCAGAAAGCAGAGAGAGAGAGAGAGAGAGAGAGAAGAGCTGGGACACAGAGGTCCTGGAGGAAGGAGACTAAAGATAGACTGACTAAGCAGGGCAGACTGACAGCTGAGGAGACCGAAAGGGAGGTGCTGGGACAGAACTCTGAAGGGTGCTTCTCAGGCAAGCCCAGCTACAGGTCTCCTGGCCCGGACTCCAGCAGGTCAGCCGGCTCCTGGGACGGTGGAGGGAGGGAGGGAGGGGTAGAAAAGAGTGGGCTCAGGGCGGGATGCGGGCCTGGCCAGGAGCAGCCTTGCTCTGGGTCAAGGAGTGAGGCACCAGAGCCTAGAAGTCAGCCCTGACCCTGGCCCTCCTTGACCCCCCAAGGCTCATGAAAGGAGAGCAGCATGAGGAGCAGGGGCTGGGCCCCGGCCCTGCGGCACCCCCGCAGCCCAAAGAGGAGGAGGAGGCCCTGATCGAGTTCCACCGCTCCTACCGAGACCTCTTCCAGTTCTTCTGCAACAACACCACCATCCACGGTGCCATCCGCCTGGTGTGCTCCCAGCACAACCGCATGAAGACGGCCTTCTGGGCTGTGCTCTGGCTCTGTGCCTTCGGCATGATGTACTGGCAGTTCGGCCAGCTGTTCGGGGAGTACTTCAGCTACCCCGTCAGCCTCAACATCAACCTCAACTCGGACAAGCTCGTCTTCCCCGCCGTCACCATCTGCACCCTCAATCCCTACAGGTCAGTCGACCCCTCTGTCACTTCCCCGGCGCCTGGAAGTGGGGGACAGAGGGCGCGGAGGCAGACCCGCAGACCCGGGAGTAGGAGGGGATACTCTTGTCCCTAGGTAGACCTCCCTTTGGGCAAGATAGGGAGCCCCCGACTCGATGGGCTCTGCCCATCAGAGCGGCTCTGCCAACGGGGCCCTCCAAGTGCCCACAGCTTATCCAGAGTGTGGTTGTCGACTTCCCTTCCTCCTCCCACAAGTGGGAGGGCGAACAGATGAAGTGAGATGCGGATAGCTCCAAAGAGCAGGGTAGAGATCATTCCCATCCCTTCCCTGGAGCAAGAGGAGGGCGAAGAACAAGGCCTCCTCCACCTCGAGAGAAGAATCTAATGGACAGGTGAAGCCGTTGGCAGGTGCTGTGGGGGTGGGTGGTGAAAGCTGGCGGGGCTGGGCCCTGGTATGTTGGTCTCCGTGTAGAAGGGGAGTTTGTTTTGGGGAAATCAAGGTGGGGGCTGGTGGCAAAGGGTTGGAGAGACTTGAGGCTGGGGGTAGAGTCAGAGGGAAACCAGGACAGGACAGAAAGCAGCCCTCCCCTTCCCCCCCCAACCCCCCCCCCCCCCCCCCCCAAGACCCAGTTGACCCCTGCTGGGCTGTGTACTTCACCTGCCCAGGTGCCTGACTTTTAAGTGCTCGGGTGTGTCCTGAAGGTTTGGGTTTCATCGTTGCTCTTTGCCAGTTTTTCTTCTAGAAGCCAGAGGGGATGGTAACCATGGAGAAGAAAGGAGGGTACAGCTAGGTGTTTATCCACACCTCTTATTTGTATTTACTCAGTCATGCAACACGTGGGGGATACCTGGAGCATATGCCCAACACTGCTAGGCACCTGGCAAATGGGTTCATTAATAATTCATTCAGGGGCGCCTGGGTGGCGCAGTCGGTTGAGCGTCCGACTTCAGCCAGGTCACGATCTCGCGGTCCGTGAGTTCGAGCCCCGCGTCAGGCTCTGGGCTGACGGCTCAGAGCCTGGAGCCTGTTTCCGATTCTGTGTCTCCCTCTCTCTCTGCCCCTCCCCCGTTCATGCTCTGTCTCTCTCTGTCCCAAAAATAAATAAACGTTGGAAAAAAAAATTAAAAAAAAATAATTCATTCAGTCTTCACTGAAGGCCAGGCACTTTGCTAGGTTCTGGGGACAGAAAGATAAAATACGGTGGAAGAGATAGGCGACACAGATAACAGCAGGACAGTGTGGCTTCGAGAGTCAGTCTCTGCCCTTAGGGAGTGTAAGATTTGTGAGTGCCTACAGGTGTGATTGCGTGAGTGTGCGTGTGTGTGTGTGTGTGTGTGTGAGCAAACATTGGGTATAGGTATGATTATGGAGGATGGAGATTGGTCACATATTAGGGATGAAGGCCCCCCATGTGTTCCATGGTGTCCAAAGGTGTATCACGGAGTAAAAAGGGTTGGGACGTCCCGTGCTGCAGGGAAAGCCCTGCCGGCCGTTTTCATGGATAAGCCTCCATATGCTGTCCAGGTGAAGGGCGCGTTTCCTAAGAAGCTGCTTCATGCACCAGCCACTGCTAAGTACTCTGTGGCACCCCTAATTCTCCCAGAAACCCCACAAGGCGGGGACTATTGTAATCCCTGTTTTGCATTGGAGGAAACTGAGGCAAAGGCAGACAAGTCACAAGGTCACAGAGACAGTGACGGAGCTGTGGTTCACCCTCGGATCACAAATCCCTCCTTTTCTTGATATCCAAGGTGTGGGACACGGAATCAGCGAAGTGTGTAATCAGATGTGTACATCTCATTTCCCAGCTCTCCTTTGCCGGCTCAGCCTCATTTCTCTTCCTTGGTGCCCGTGAGCTTGGCTCCTCTCCTTTCCGACCCTCTGCTGCTTCGCTACCCTGATCTTTCCCCTACTTATTTCTCTTCACCCCCTTGGGCCATGGTGGAGGGCACTGAGTCAGCAGGGAGGGGAAGGCGGGCAGGCAGGAAGGACTAAAGGCTGGGTAGTAGGCTCTCAGTAAATGTTTGTGCTTGAAAGACATGGGTGGGAGATGGAGAGCAAAGGGCTACATGGGCTACATCTTTTGAGGCCTGCTGAGGGCAGGGTCATGGACAGTCTACGAAAAAGCCCCAGGGGATGAAACCAGAGCCACTGCTCCTGAGGCCTGCAGGCTGGGAGACAGGTGTCCACACAGAAAGAAATGCCTCCTGCCTGACTAGCGGCCACAGGGCTTAGAGGGGAGAGAGCCCCGGGGGAGGGAGGGGAGTCAGGGAAGGCACAGGGAACCGTGTCGAACACCTGCTACATGCTCACCCTTTGCTGGGTCCTTTATAAGGACTATCTCATTTCATCTTGACAAGTCCATGGCGGTGGACATAGTTATTATTTCCATTTGGAAGTGGAGGCAAAATAATTTGAGCAAGGTCACAAAGCAAATAATAAAGAAATAGCAACAATAATAGTGAACACTTCTTTAAAATTTTTTTTTTAATGTTTATTTTTGAGAGAGGGAGAGAGACAGGGCACAAGCAGGGAGGGGCAGGGAGAGAGGGGAACACAGAATCTGAAGCAGGCTCCAGGCTCTGAGCTGTCAGCACAGAGCCCGACGGGGGGCTTGATCTCACGAACCTCGAGATCGTGACCTGAGCCGAAGTCAGATGCTTAATTGACTGAGCCACCCAGGAGCCCCAAGAACACTTCTATAGTACCTAATGTGCACCAGATATGTTACATTTTATATGAAATTATTTAATTCTCACAACAGACTTCTGAAGTAGGTACGAGTATTATTCCCATTTTATAGAAGAGGAGACTGAGGCCCAGAGAGGTTAAATAACCTGTCCAAGTTCACACAGGTAGCAGGTGGTGAAACTGGGATTCAAAAGTCACCCACCCACCCCTCCAAGCAGCCAGTGCATTTCTGGTTAGCAGCTGAGTCACAAACCAAATGTGTTTGATATCAAAGCCCTTTATCACCTCTACACTTTAAGAAGGTGCCACAGGGTTGCCCGCTGCCAGGTGGGGGCTTATGGGTGAGACAGATGAGGGGTACTTGTCATGAATGGAGGAGAGAGGGATGCAGGGCTCTTGGCTCCTATTCAAGGAGAGAGGCAGGGGTGGGTGGACAGGTTAACACAGCCTGGTAGGTGGTGACCCGAGGGTGAATCACAGGTGCTGGCTTGCGGCAGGTGCAGGGGACAGGCCAGATGAGTGATTCCTACCGAAGCAGCAGGGAGTAGGTGGAAATTTGTGGACAGGATAGATGAACTGGTGAGATAACAGGAATGAGGCAAAGTCAGACCAGGGATGCCCAGAGCTGGTGGGCACGGCCGGACGTCCACGGCCCGCAGAGGTGGAGGGGTTCTGGGTTGCTTGGGAACTTCTGAGAGAGGCTGCAGGGGCCACAGTAAGCAATAAAGCGCGAAGAATCCACTGTGAAGGGTCAGCCACTGCAGTTGCTTTCTTTGTGGCCAAAAAGGGCTTTGTTCATCCAGGAGAGAGGGCCAGTCTTAACCACATGCACAGAAAACAGAGCCCAAGAACATATTTTTCATCTAGTCCTGGGAGGGACTGAGGCTGGGCCTAAGGAAGAACTCAAGATCCTGAAACATCACAGGAGGTGATGGAATCCCTTCCCAAGATGGCAGAGCAGAGGCATGGCACAGGAGTGGGGAGAGGAGAGGGCCAATTCCCTAAAGAGGGAAGCTGTGGGCCTTTTTTTTTTTTAATTTGAGAGAGAGAGAGAGTGCGTGGATGGGGCAGAGGGGAGAGGCAGAGAGAGAGAGAGAGAGAGAGAGAGAGAGAGAATCTTAAGCAGGTTCCACGCTCAGCATGGAGTCCGACATGGGTCTCTCTCCCAGGACTCTGGGATCATGACCTGAGCCAAAACCAAGGGTCAGACATTCAACCTACTGAGCCACCCAGGCACCCCGAGCCTAACTCTGCAAAGTGGGGCTAGCAGTTCGCTCTGTGATGGCAGGCCTGGCAGGGACAGAAAGCCAGGACTCTCAGAACTGCCCCCCTTGGCCCCCAGTGCTGGGCTCCTTCTCCTGTCGGGACCCTCCCTACCTCTGTAGCAGCCGTTGTTAGAAAGTTCTTCCTCAGGGCACCTGGGTGGCTCAGTCGGTTAAGTGTCTGACTCAAATTTGGCTCGGGTCATGGTCTCACGGTTCACGGGTTCGAGCCCCACATTGGGCTGCACGCTGATGGCGCAGATCCTGCTTGGGATTCTCTCTCTTCTCCTCCCCACCTCGCTCTGTCTGTCTCTCTCTCAAAGTAAATAAATAAATAAAAACTTTAAAAAAGAGAGAGACTCTGCCCCTCCCCTGTTCATGCTCTGTCTCTCTCTGTCCCAAAAATAAATAAACGTTGAAAAAAAAATTTAAAAAAAAAATGAAAAAGAGAGAGAGAAAGTTCTTCCTTAGGTAAAGCTGCAGTTGACCTCGTTATAACTTCTAGCTTCTGCTCCTGGTTCTGTGTCTTTGACACAACCCTAAAGATAGCTCCTTCCTCACCCACCGGCCACCAGCCCATGGCAGCAGCATCTTCAAGGTAGCTTGCAAAATTCACCACCGAATTCAGATCCTCCTAACAAGCTTGTTAGATAAGGAAGGAGATACCCGCCCCCTCCCCCCTCCCAGCCAGATGCGAAAACTGAGGCTCTGAGAACCTGCAGGCTTTGCAAAGGTCACCCAGCTGTTATGTGGAGGGGTCCGAATTGGAATCTGGTCTTAAGTTCTACTTTTTTAAGACCACAAAGTCACGTGGCAGCTAGGTGGCAGTCCTCCTGTGTCTCCTCCGCCTGCTCTTCTCCAATAACAGCGCTGATACGAAGACAATAGCAGTAGTTGTACAGTGTCTACTCGGCCAGGTATTTTTCTCAGTACTTTTCCTGTATCAAATCATTTCACCTCCACAATAACCCTTTGCCACAAGGACTCTTTAAAAGAAATAGATTTATTTAAGTAATCTCTACACCCAGCATGGGGCTCGAACTCGCAACCCCAAG